CTTAACAGCAACCCAGTTTCAGGAGCTCTCGAGTTGCTCGCGCTATCCTCACCGACTCCCTGGAATACTGCTCCGCAGTGATGGCGTCGTTCTCTTTTGCCGCCTTCATAGTAATGTCAACATAAACAGCAAGGATGACATTGAAAATCCCCAGAGACACGAGCATATAGCTGGCAATGTAGCCGAGAACGAACGGCAATCCAAATACATCCTTCAACATGACCGTGATCGGAAACCCATTCTCGTTGACACACTCGCCTGTGAAACACCGGAAGGCAGTGAACATGGTCTGAGGAATATCCTTGGTATGCGCTGTGACGCTCTGTGCATGTGGGTAACTTCTTTCCCTACGAGCCTGCTGGCTTTGCAACTGGAAGTGCGCAGCTCTCAAAACTAAAAGCATGCCCCACTCTTTGGCAATTTCGGGGGTCCAATGCATTCCGGAGTGCAACCCACTTTAGACAAAGCGGCAGTGCGAGTACATTCTCCTACTTGCGTTCTGGCTTGTTTAGGATCACAAGTAGTAGCGAGTGTAACTGCAAGGTCAAGATTCCGAGAAGAAACCACCGAGCCCAATGTCATGTATTCGCGCGTCAGCGCCAATAGTAATTGCAGTCAGGCCAGATATCACATACAGGACGCCAAAAAGCAGCAGAAACGCAAGTGCAAGCGTTCGCACTCCTGCAATCAATCCTTTCACCATCAGCCGTAGATCCCTCATTGCCTTGATTCTGAACACCTTGACAATTCGTACCAGCCGAATAAGCCTGCAAAATCGTAGAAGGGACGTGCCATTCGCATCCACCACATGCTGTTGCAGGATGGCTTGCAGACTGGCATCAAGAACTCCAAATGTTGCGAGGAAAACATCGAAATAACTCCAGTAGCGGTCTGGGCCACACCAGTAGGTTCGGCAGCGCAAGAAGTACATTCGCAAGCCGATCTCCAGCAGGAGTGTGAGAGTGAAAGCTGCCTCCAAAACAGGCCAGTGAGGCCAATCCTCATTCCCGGGATGCGTTTGCAAACCAATCATCACACCATTGGCTATAATCACGATGGCTACCAGCGGCTCCATCATAGTCAAAATGTTGATGCGATCCTTTGGCCCCGCAAGGTCATTGATTCTTACGAAGGTCAACTCCGCAACCAACCGGTTTGTGTCAGCCGCCAGGAGTATTTCCTTCATTGCTCTGAACTGCTGCAAGCGCTTGGCGCCAAAAATCTTCTTGTGGATCTCCGCCTCGCTGGCAAGCAAAACGTCCATCAGTGCCTGTGCTGGCACAACATTGTAAGTTCGCAGTGGTTGCACTTCCGGAACCGATGTAAGCTTCTGCGTGACGCTTTTCTTCAGCTGTGGGCCATGCATTTCCGAGGCAACCTGGTCGGGGCAACAAGGAGCGTGTGGGCGAATGCAATGATATCTTTGCTATTGAGTAAGGCAACACGATTCGTCTGGGAGCTGCAAAGACCGTTGTCATTATTGTAGTCGTCGTGCCTGCTGCGGCGGCAGCAGCTGTTGTTGATGTAAATGTAACAGCGGCGCAAGCACAAGCAGCAGCGGCAGCAGCAGCAGCAGCAGCAGTGACAGAATGTTGCTTTATTAGCAGCAACTGCCTCCAGTCATTCTTGAACGAGCCCATCTACCAGCATCACATATTACTTTTAGCGGTCATCTGGAAGCATGCGACACTACTAACTACTACCATAAGCAGCCCTTCTCACAACAGTAACAGTTCAGAAACGGTCACGCCCTGAATCGGCAACTAAAAACCCTGATTCGGAAACCAACCTGATCCGGAAACTAAAAAGACTGATTCTGAAGCTGAACACCCTGGTTTGCAAACTGAAAACCCTGATTTGGAAACCAAACAAAATTGAGTTGGAAACCACAAACCTTGATTCGGAAATTAAAACCCTGATTCAGCAGGTGAATCCTAATCCCTAAGCCCTTATCACAAAAAGGAACAGGACTTTGCACTTGTGTAAGGCCTTACCCCTTGCAGGAGACCCCCAGAAATCTTTTCCCCTGGTCCTGGTGAGTCCTAATCCCTATAGGCCCTGATCCCTAACCCTTATCACAAAATGGAAAAGCGCTTTAAACTTCTGTAGGGCCTTTGCTCTGAAGGGCCCCGAGAAATCTTACCCCCTGCGTGAGTCCAAGTCCCTGAACCCTAATCTCTGGACACCTATCACAAAAACAGAATTGACGGTGTGGGTTCAGATGAAACGAGATTATGCCCCCACCGCCCCCCCCACCCCCACCTTCCAAAGCCCAAAGATTATGCCTCCCCCCAACCCAAAGCTGAACCCACCCGTCTTGTATGATTTTAACTTTAGTTGACGATTTTAGTTTCTGAAGTGGGGTCGTAAATTCTCCAAGTGGTGATTTTTAGTTTCCGAATCGGGGTTTCCGATTCGGTGATTTTAGTGTTTCCGAATCGGTGATTTCCGTTTTGGTTTCCGAATCGGTGATTTTTGGTTTCCGCATCCGGGAATTTTAGTTTCCGAATCGTGGGTTTCAGTTTATGAATCTACGGATCTTTAGTTTCCGAATCGGTGATTTTTAGTTTCCCAAGAACTGATTTTTTGGTTTCCGAATCGGTGGCTTTAGCTTCGAAAGCAGGGTTTGTTCGTTCAGAAACGCATGAACCTAAACGGCCTGCTTGAATCGCTTCATCCCACAACCCCGCCCGGCTGGCGTTGACTGACCTCTCGCTGCCTATGGTATGCTGCTGGACTTTTCGTCTTTTCGCTGAGAAGTGACCTGAACCCTAAACCCTAAACCCTGTTGAGCACCGTTGCTTGATTCGTGAACATCTTCTTTGTTGCTGGGAATCCCGCCTTCTCCGGCCAAGCCCACACAGGCCGATAGGAAACCTCTCCGCTGTGGAACCAACCCAGCTGAATACTATGATGATGTTGCTGGTGCTCTTCATCCTCAGTGGGATTCTCCACAGCTTCAAAGGAGAGTTTGATAAAATCGGCAATCAAGTTCACAAAGTCATTCATGTGCTCCTCTGTATAAGTGGTCAAGCCTAGGGTGGAGACCGCATCGAGGATCGCCTTCCCTGAAACAAGCGTCTTCGAGGAGATCGCGCCAAGGCGCCAACGCAGTCGATGACGGACTACCCGCGCCTCCTCCGCAGAGAGGTTATCCAGCACCGACTTGAAGATGCGAGAAGAGTCGCCGTGAGGCACGGGGTCACTTTCATCGCAGCTAGAGGTCATGGAGGTCAAGTTTGGGTTCACGTCCCTTGAACCCGTCCATTGCCGGTCAACATCTGCCTCAGCCCACACAGCTCGCGTAGCTGCTAAAGTTGCGACCGATGTGCTGTGAGAGCGGCTTGCTGCGCCGGACACGCCACTGGTTATGCTCACACTGCTTGGATGGCTGCTGCCCTTGCTGTTTGCACGCGATATTGGCCTGCTACTGGTAGTTGAGACTGCTTTGACAACCTTGGTGGGGGCCTGTTGGGACTGATAAGCACTCACCAGTTTGCATCGAAACTCTTCGCACAAGCTGTCGATGGCACTGGCGAAATCACGGCGTTCCATGGCGCCACTCACCCACCCAAGGTTGCTTAGCAATCTCAGATGTTTGAGCCGCAACGCCTACGATCACGGAAATGAAAAGCTGGCCTGCAGGAATTGGTCTACGGAGCTCAATCAACTTCACGGACCCTTATCCGGCCAGAAGCAAACCCCACATGAACCAATAGCTGCACTCCTTGTTTCCGCCGCTGCCCCTGAGACGCGAGCCGCCGTTTTCCATGGCCGACTCCTCACAATTGCAGAATGTTTCAGGCATGCAAGCACGTCAAACTGCCACAGGTCCAAGTCACGCATGCGCGGCTTTCGGATCAGCCTCCGCATTGGAAAGCACTCATCATGGGGCCATGTACATCTGATTCTGGCTCTTAACGCAGAGTGTAGAGCGGTCAACTGCTTCACTGGGGTAAGTCTGGGGGCCCTGATAAATCAAATTTCTATGGCTTCATAAGATTATGTAGGGACTAATTCAGGGTAATAAAGACTACAAATTATTCCAACTTACCCCTGTTAAGTCAGGATGGGCTGCGGAGACCCTGCGAAGTAGCACTTGCCTGAACCCCCAAAAGTAGGCAAAATAATAGCCCGAAACAGGTAAACATAGCACCAAAGGCCATTTTTCTACATTCTTTTGGGTCCAGGTACCCTAAACCCTAAACCCTAAATACTTATGGGGTCCACTTAGCGCTTTGCGCACCTCGGACCCAGCCATTTCGTTGCGGGCATACCTTGACGCACAGAACAGCTCTTCAAACAACTGAAACGAACCGGGAATAGTAGCATCCATTTTCTTTTCCATTATTCCCTGTATAGACCCTATATAATACCCCCTATTATTATAACTATTCGTATTACTGGGCCCCAATTCCAACTCGCGTCAAGGTAAGTCTGCTGCAGCCTTGTTGCTTTTTGGCCATGGCTTTCATGATTGGGCGAGATATTTTGATGCCCTTAGCTTTCAAAGCCCACGCGCGACACATCACACCAAGTAACCCTAAACCCTAAACCCGCTAATTCCTATAACCCTGGGAGGGCTCCTGGCTCAAGCATGAATTCTCGGAACCTGTCCGAGGATAGACTTAAAGCCAAGGCTCCTGCAGGGCTGCTATTGCTCCTGCTGCCTTCTGCGTGTATTGCTGCACCTGGATCCCCATCACTTGGCTCGGGCTACAAAAGATTAATAAAAATAACAGTGATAATCGTGATAATAGTACTAATAGTAATCATCATGATAATAGTCAGAATGATTGTAAAAATAGTAATACTCGTAATAATAGTAATAACAAGAAGAACAGCAATAACAATAGTAATAGTAATAGTAATAAATACTGGGTATCCACCATGACCTGCTACCAGTTGCAAGGTACACGCCGAGGACTTGTAGCACATGCATTCAGCTGGATGGCGATGAATGATCCAGTTAGGAGCTACTGCTGCACCCTAGCCTTCGGAAAATATGGAAACCACTTTTAGGGTCTAGGGTCAACTAGGGTCTACTTGGAGGCCTATGGGACTTAGTAACTACTTATAATATCTTATAATTGGGGGCTTATAACCCTACTTAGAATCCCCCTAAACGGGCTTATAGGGGTTTCCCCCATTATAAGTAGGGTTAGAATCCCAGCTATAAGTAGTTACTAAGTCCCATGGGCCTCCAAGTAGGGAATGGAAAAGAAAATTGGAAACGACTATGACTTGGAGTGAGCATAGGGCTCAAAAGCTGATTGGCCTCGTCAGAGAACTCATAGGTTTCGAGAAGCGTCCGCAGATTCCCCAAGCACTCTTCCACCTCTTTCATTTGTTTGCCTGGGATTGGTGCTGCAAAAGCAGCGCGAAGTTCTCAAAACTCTGGCCCCTCATGTTATATATGTATGTGCTTTCTTGCAAGAAAATCCCCACCGCCAGCTGCTTACCCTTTCAAGCAACCCACAGCATCCAATACAGACCGTGCAGCTGATGTGAGATGTCGACAGGGCCTTCCGAAGGTTCTTCAGCTCTTTCAGGAGCGCCTTGCCTCAAGTTTTTTATCCCAAATACCCCTATATTCCCTTATTCCTATATTTAGGGTTTAGGGTTTAGGGCTGTATGCCCTATATAAACCATTGGAATAGTTTCCATTTCTTTTCCATTATCCCAATATATCCCCAGTATTATACAGATGTGCTTTTGGGAGCTTTCAGATTCCAAAAACAGGACTTTGCCCAAGCTACTGGTCCCAAGATGAATGAATCTATAGTCCCCCTTAAGTAGATAGAATACGGCTTTGGGTATATTATGATAAGAGCCCCGTATACCCCATATTCTACCTACTTAAGGGGGACTATAGTCTAAAGTATGAGGACCGAAATGCAACGGAAGCCCGCGTACAGAGACGGGTACATGCTGAGTGCCCTCATGCTACTGAAAACGGACAACTGATGATCAGGATGCGGGGGCTTCTCAATCAAGGGCACAAGTGTAACAAGGGCATTTAAGGAGAGCCCGTTTTCACGGCTTCCTCCTGGAAACTTCCTGAAGGTTCCTTTTTGAAGAATGGCAGGTGGCGTTTCCTGTCCTCCGCAGGGTCCACCCCACGTTGTCGGATCCTTATAGGCTGCCCATGCACCACAACAGGCATAATGCTCTGATTATGAGAATCGCGGCGAATGAATGGCGCAGCCGTTGTTGAAATGGCAAAACTAAGATAAACTGCCAGTGCTCACAGTAATCCGCCGACGGATCCCGCTTCGCCCTCCCCCTGAAGGCCTGCACTGTCCTTATGATGCAAATTTTGGAGCATGAGCAGTGTTGAGCCTCTTATTCCATTGCAAATCAGAACGAGTCTCGAACAAACAGTGTCGTAATGCTCTAAGCTAGGGATGCGTGCCTCCTCCCGCCTGTGGCAAAACCCACCCAGGCCAGAGACCGATAGTAACTTTCAGAGACACGTCCGCTCCTGTATGAAACATGAAGCCAAGGTACACAGGCATCCTTGCCGGCTCAGCCCACCCTGGATGTTAACTCCGTGTAGCAGAGTTGGATGTGGTTTCTAAGCCTGGCACTTGGGCTCCCTGAGGCCGCACAAAGGCGAAGCCAGTAAGCCGCGCACGGTGCAATAGTTCATATTGCGTCTGCGCGTTTCGCAAGGTTTTCGTGCTCGAGGGCTGTCGTTTAGCTTGGTATAAATACTGCAGCTGTACAAACGCTTGCCCCGCAAAATGCTTGTGGTGGCAGCGGCAGCGGCGCTCGGGGGCCTTGCCTTTTTGGCTTGTACCCAAACCCCCAAAGGGATCTAAAAGTTAGATCCCCTAGAACCATATGGGAAATTATACAAGGAGTATATAAGGGTTGTTGTAATGGGTCTGTATAGGGGATCTAATTTTTAGATCCTTCCAGGAGTTTGCTACCCAAACCCTATATACCCCTATACATCCCTATATAAACCCTATATACCCCTTATAGAACCCCTATAACAACCCTAAGCAGTAAGTTTTGTCGGTTCACTGGCATCTCCCACCTGGATTGGGCACCCCTTTTTCCCTCGCGAAAGAAAGCCACCCCTGTGTGAAATGTAACCAAGCTTCCCGAGATGCCTATGAATCAAGCAAAACAATTCAATGATGCGCAACCGCTCGTTGTGGCTCTGACTGCAAAGCTTCAAAACCTCTTTTTTGTGTCTCCCCTCCAACGCAACGTGGGGCATGGCGGTTTGCAGAAGTGCCAACACATGGTAGCTTCCCTAATTAAGGGGACCCCAATATAAGCCCCAAAATACTAGATCCTTATAATGGGGACCCTCCAAAAAGGTACCCCTAATTTCGGGAAATCCTCACATAATGATGACAGCTAAAAAAAATCTTGGAGTCTTTGCCAGCAGGGCAAGTCCAACTTACTGGTTCCCCTATATAACCCCCATGTGGTCCCCCTTACGTAGATAGAACATGGCAACAAGATCCCCATATACTCCATATTCTAGCTACCTAAGGGGACTATAAGCCTAAACCCTATGTACCCCTGTATATACCCCTATATAATCGCAATATATTCCCTAAACCCTAAGCCCTAAGCCCTAAACCCTAAACCCTGACTAGTAAGCCAAAGGCTGGTAAGCTCCAAGTGCAAGTTGAACTGACAGGCGAAAGGATTGGACCAAGGCACCGCTCTTGCCTCGGCAGTGTGAGCTGTATTCTAAACTCCTGACAAAGGTGGGCTATATAGGGGATCACGTAGGGTTTAGGGTCTAAACTCCTAATATAGGGGATTATGTAGAGTCAATGTAGAGGAGTATTATATGGGTTAGTACGGGGGATGCTAGGAGTTTAGACTATAGCTCATGTGTTGGTGATCCGCTTCCGCTGCTTACATGCTAGCTTTCCCTCATCGCCCTTCCCTGCTTCACTTGGCTTTATGGCAGGTGCAGGTTGCATTGTAATCGGACAATTCGGAAATCCCCATTGCTCTTTGGGGTTGCCATAAGGTCCCAATGCAGGCCTGAATTGCAAGCGATTCTATCAGTACACCCCTGCTGCTACTGCAGACGCGACTATGCACTACCCCCCTCCCCCTCACATTACACGCCCCCGACCTCCGAATAGAAGCTATTCCCCGTATGGCATCACACACCTCAATCGGAAGATCAATCTTGGCTACCATGGTTGCTTTTCACGACAAAAACAACGATAATGACAACACGAAGAATGATAATGATAATCAGAAGAACAACAACACCTGTATGAATAATGGCAATAATGATAGTAATAAGAATAACGGACACGAATAATCGTTGTAATGCCAATAATACGAATAAAAAGTACTACTGACAAGAGCCATGAAAGCATAATACTAAGAAAGTCATATTCTTTTCCATAAGAATATAAGAATAAGGCCAAACAGTATTGTAGCCAACCCTAAATCCCTAAATCCTAAATCCCAAATCCCTAAACCCTAAATCCCTAAACCGTAAACCCCCCCTAAACCCTACCTGCCCATGCTGGACCTCATTAAGCCAAGAGGCAGCACTCGGCGCA